GACTGGCTGCCAGTGACCAGGAGGGAGGACGGTTCGGAGAAGCAATGCCCTACTCCACCCACCCAGGCCTGGGCTAAAAGGAGGGTGGGAGACCCCACCGGGCCCCTGGGCCCTCTCCACTTCCGGGGTGGGTGGAGTCGGACTGTCTCCACCTGTCACCAGCCCCCACTTGCCCTAGGCGGCGGACAGGAACCACTCCCGCCGTGCCCCCTGGGGCGCTTCCCGCAGAGATAAGGAGTCCTCCCTACACGAGATGCCCTGGACGTGGCCGCGTCCACCATCCCCGGCAAAGCCCCCCGCCCCCGCACGGATCGCTGTTACCGCGGAGGGAGGGGACGCCCCGTCTCGGAGTCCCCTCTTCTAAATTCCCCGGGCTGCTGTCCAATGGTCTTCCCAGGCAGCGGCGGGGGTGGGGAGCTCGAAGAGCCCGGTTTGTCCCGTGGGGATGGGGAACTGGGGAGCGGCGGGCCTCCTGGCTCCGCGTGTGCTTAAGGCCGGCGGGGAGTTTTGGGGCGCTACCAGGCTGAGACGTCCCTGGTAATTTGTCCCCAACTCTCTGTCTGGGACGGGGTCGGGTCAAAGTGTGTGGGGAGAAGTTCGCCAACGCTGGTTTGCATCTATTTGCATTTCAGCGGTGACTCGCCCCCTCCCTGGCTCCCAAATAACTGGGGGCTCGGGCACGTGCCGGCGGGCTGGGGCTAGGGCTGGGGAGCCCCTTCCCTAGATCCTGGACCTTAGGCGAGTGGCGGGGCTGCAGCCCCCGGAGGAGCCCCGCCCCTTCAGTGCATCCCCACGGATCCCGCGCGCTCCCTGGACACGCCCCCCGATCCCACCCCACCCCCGCTCGGTAGTCGGCTAGGCCCGGGTGCAGCCCGAAGGTGGGGGTGGACCAGAGGACCTTTCTTAGCTGATTGGCCTGGAACCCAGGTCCTTGGGTCCAGATCTCGGACTCAGGGGGCGGGTCTCGAAGGGCGGGTCTCAAAGGGGCGGGGTCTTGGGGTCCCTGAAAGGCGCGCACCCCGCCGGACCCACCCAGTCCAGCTCTCCTGTCTGTTCCTGCGCAGACGTTCCCGCCGGACCTCCAGCCGCCATGCCTAAGTGCCCCAAGTGCGACAAGGAGGTGTACTTTGGTGAGCGCTCCCCGCCTACCCCAGCTCACCCCCCACGGCCGGGAGCGCGCCGCCCCGCGCCGCCCCCACTAGGAAGCGCGGCCCAGGGACGACCCGGCCGGGCCCCTCCGGAGGGCCGGGCGCGCCGGGGGACCCTGGGGCTGCGTGCCGGGAGCCGACACTTCAGCCCTGCCGGCCACCGCCTGGGTGTGCGGGTCAGGACCCCGGCGTCGGATGGCCCTCTGTCTCTGCTGATTCGGTGTCTCCGCCCCGCTGTCTCTTCCTCTCGGTCCCGCTGGGTCTCGCCTTGTCTGGGTGCCCCCTTCTCTGGGTCTCCCGGTCGCTGAGACTCCCCAGCTCTCCCGTCCCCCCTCGGCGTGCCCCGGGCGGGGACCGCGCGGCAGAGGGAGAAACGCTGCGTTCTAGCCGCCCCTCCCACCGCTAAGTAGAACCAGACGCGGAAACCGGCGCCCGGGGCGCGATCCCGGGAGCGCTGAGAACCGGGTGCAGCCTCCCTGTCCCGCGCCCCGGGGCCCACCCAGGGGAGAGGCGGGAGGAAGTGGGAAGTGTCTCTCCCACCTTCGCCCCTGAGAAGGGCGCCCTGCACTCCCCACCCCCTACACCGCGGCGGGTCACCCAGGCCCCCACCCCTGGCCCCCGAGGCCTTCTCCTGCAGTACCACCCAGCTCCCCCTCCCGTTTGTTTGGCGGGATTGGCCTAGGGGACTGGAGGTGCCCCTCCCTACTGACGGGGCACAAGGCTGAGACCCGGGGTGGGCCACCAGGCGGGCGTGGGTGAGACCAAGGGCAGAGGCAACTGGAGAAGGCTGGTGTGTGAGTAGGTGGGTGTGCCCTGGGACCCCAGAGCAGGGTCTCATACTGGGGGGCGGGGGTTGCTGTCTGTGCCCCTGCAGCTGAGCGGGTGACCTCTCTGGGGAAGGACTGGCATCGGCCTTGCCTGAAGTGTGAGAAATGTGGGAAGACGCTCACGTCAGGGGGCCACGCGGAGGTAGGTGGGGCCTGGAGGGCAGCAGGGGCGCAGGGTTAGGGCGGACAGCCCCTCATGGCCCTTCTCTCTGCAGCATGAAGGCAAGCCTTACTGCAACCACCCCTGCTATGCCTCCATGTTCGGGCCTAAAGGTATGCTTCCCCGGCCCCTGCCCTGGCCCCCCACCCAGCCCCTGGCCACTCCTAACCTGCCTACTCGTTTTGTCTGCAGGCTTTGGGCGGGGTGGAGCTGAGAGTCACACTTTCAAATAAACCCAGGTACATTTCCCCCAGCCCAGACCATCAGGCCTTTGGGATGGTCCCCCCATGCCTGAGTGCAGTCTGACTGCTCACTGGGCCTGCACTCACCTCTGTCTCTGTCTCTCTCTGCGCAGGTCATGGAAACGCTGTCCCTGGCTGCCCACCGGGCCACTGCCTTTCCAGGCTGATTGCAGGCCTTATCCCCAGGCACCCGGCGACCCCTGTCGACTCCCATGCCCTCAATAAAGCTGAACACTCAGAATCCCTGCCCGCGTGTGCGGAGGTGGGGGGCAGGGGGGTGTGTCTTGACAGGGGGGATGATGGCGGGGAGCTGCAGCTGGCCGCTCTGTCTCCAAGCCCTGCCAGGGCCACTGGCTCTTCCTGCTGCAGCCGGCCTTGCTGCCCATCGCCCTGGCCGGGTGCTGTGCTGGGGGCCACCTCAGGCTGAAGCTTCCTGTACAAGGCAGGCAGCTGGCCACCCTGGAAGGCCCCATGTGGCTCAGCTCTCCAGTGCCCAGCCCCGCCAATGCCCCAGCCCTCCAGAGGTTCTGGGATGGGCCCAAGGGAGGGTCAACAGGTCAGCGGGAACATGAGGCCTAAGAGTCAGTGGGTGGTGGCCACGGGGTGAATTAGCTGTGCTCACCCTGGTTCCGTTTTTGAGCTCTGGGGGAGTTGTGGTGGGGAGTCCTTGCCTGCTCTCTCCACTTCCTGCCCCACCCTGTCCCCATTACCCACCGGCCTTGATGGACCAGGCCAGCCACGTTCCTACTGGAGCATGCACTTGGACACCCCGCCTTCCTCCCCACCCCAGTACTGAGTGGCCAGCCACTAAATGGAGAATTGGAGGACTGGCTGGGCCCTGCATAGTTGGGGGCTTTCTGGAAACTTCCATGTCAATTCTGGCAGCACCTGCAGACTGGGCCTCACTCAGTGAGGGCCTCCCCATTCCCTCCCCTGGCCACTCAGACTCCAGCCCTGGCAGAGGGCCACCCCTCCCAGGCCTCGGCCCTGCTGCAGGCCTGAGCTGGACAGTCTGTTGAGGGGTCTCAAGGGCCACCTGTAGGGTGGGGCTAGGTTACTGGCTGACTTACAGAACTCCAAGAGGTGGGAGCCAGAGTTCATCTGCAGGGACCGAGTGGGAAGGAACAGATGGTGCTAAGGTGAGGCAGGGTTTCTCAGTGGACAGTGGGAGGGTGGGGGCTGGGGGCTTGGAGATTCAGCGGGGTGTTGTGCCAGAGTGAGGAGTCGGGGTACACAGGGAAGAGCAGCGCTGAACGAGGTCGTAGAGGCTCCCGCCTCCTACCGGTTCTGGGGCTGGGCTCTGGTGTAGCTCGCAGCTAGGTGGGGCAGATGCAGGACGAGTGCTGAGATCTGACGCCTGCGGGCAGAGGGGGTCAGGACGCAGGTGGAGAAAAGCGCTTCTGATGGAGGGCCCAGAGAGAAGGGCCGGTGGGCTGGGCGGGTGGGTCAAGAATGTGGTCTTTACTCTGAAGGCCGCAGGGCGCTCCACCTGGCGTCCGCAGAGTGGCCTGCGGAGACCCGACCGGGCCGAGCTGAAGGGGGCCGAAGGTGGGGGCGGGGGCGGGGCCTCCTGGGAGGTGGCGGTAGTAGTCGGCAGTGCCCGAGAGGGAAGCGGGCGAAGGTGAGGACCGGGGCGGGGGGGGGCCGCCGGGACCCGCCCGGACGCACTTCCTGCAGGCGTGGCCGCGGCCGGCGGGTGGAGGGGTGCGTGGGCAGGGCTGGCGGGGAGGGCTGGTGGCTCGGTCCCTTCCACCGCTTCGGGGAGGTGTAATTTACACGCCACACATTCAGAATTCTCCCGTGCGGTTCGCCGGCTTCAACCAATGCGCAGGGCTCTGCAGCCCGTCCCTGGTGCCCGAGCGCCGTCCGTGCGGGCCATCTCGCGCGCGCACCGTAGACACACGGCCGCGCTGCGCGCCCGGCTTCCTTCACGCGCCGGGACGTCCGTGCGCACTGCCGGGCTCTGAGACCGCCGCCGCCAGACTGCTCTGCCAGTGGCCGCGCCGAGGTGGCTGCGGAAGGAGCGGCTCAGCGTGCAGCTCAGCCAGGCCGGGGGGCCCGCGCCGGAGTCCGGGTGTGGGCTTGGGGTGCGGAGGGGGCCGCCCGCACCCCGCGGGAGCCCC